CCGTCTCGAGAGATCTCAGGCAGCAACCAGCGCCGAGGTCGCAAGACTGCAGTCTCAAGTTTCCACTCTCGAGGCTCAGCTCGCCATCGCCCACGAACTCAGCGACAACAGTCGCGATGACCTGGAAGGCCTCAAGGCTGTGCTGGACGAGTCGCTCGAGGAGCACCAACTCGAGATCCGCCAGCTCAACGCGGAGATCGAATCCTACCTCGCACGCATCGACAGGCTTACGCGCGACGGCCAAGAGACGTCTGAGGTGCTCGCCGACATGGAGAAAGCGTTGACTGCGGCGCAGAGTCTTGGCGATGCCCTTGAACGCAGATTCAAGTGCGAGCAAATGTTCCATGCGAGCTTTAAGCGAGAGGTAGCCGAGAGGCAGGGCGAGGCGCTGGCAAACTTCTGTCGCACCTTCAAGAGAATTGGCGCGGAGTACGAGGCCTTTTTGCGGGAACTGTTTGCAGCCAAGCCGAACGGGGACAAGGCGTTCTCGGCGATCTCTGCCTTTTTAGACGGGCGCGCCGAGGCAAGACGTCAAGCAAGGGCGGTGCACTACAGCAGCATGCCTTGGCTGGACGCCAACCAGGACTTGAGTGTAAAGCTGAGAAAGGTTTGCCGGGAAGCTGTCAAGAGCCTGGTTAATGACGTGCGCAGGCCGCGCCACGTCATAAGCATGGACATCTTCAAGCAAATTTTCTGCAACGCGCTCTTGTCCGCTCTTGGGGACATCAAGAGGGCTTATGACGAGCGCAAATGGGCTGTTGACGCTCAGGTGAGCGCCCGAACTCAAGCCAAAGAGCTTTGCAAGAAGGACGAGAACGCTGAAGCGCAGCTGAGACTGGTCAACCTCGCGTTCACCGAGGCCTGGCCACCGACGGACATCTAAAGTCGAGCGTGAGTTGAGTCTGCCCAGCTTCACACCCATCTCTAAATGATTTCTGACAATCCCTCTCGTCCCTCCAGCTTCTGACCTTCTTGCTGTCGGCAGCGCAAGTCTGGACAATACTCCCCTCTCCAGTCTCGCCTTGTGCTCGTTGCCACCACCGCAAGCCTGGACGATGCCCAATGGTTGTCCATCCCCACGGACTTCTTCAGCGTTGCGCCTCTCTTTCTCGACAGCGTCTCAGTGACAGCGCCTCTTGCTTCCGGCCCCCAGCTCACACCTCCCCACAACCTCTTTCCGCGGTGCCTCTTTCTCGTTCTCCTTGCTGTCCCAGTTGCAGCGCCTCTTGCGCTCGGCCGCCGGCTTGTGCGTCCTGAGGTACGTCTTCCGCGTCGACCCTCTCTCCTTCTCTTTGCTTTCTCAGCAAGAGCGTCAGGCAGCATCATTCTCCAGCTCTCATTCCGGCAACGTTCACTAGACCTCTATGTATACTAGCATCATCACCACAGCGTCTCACCCTCCGAGACTTCCAATCCAAGCCCCTTCCCGCATTCATCGTTTGTATCGACCGCAACAGGCACAACCATTGTGCATTATCAATTTAGCATCGTAACTCCGTTCATAGTAGATAGAGCAGATAGAGCAAATGGATACAGAGCAGGTAGGTATGGTAAAAGCAGGGGCAAGAAAACTATCCAAGCATGGCACAGTATTGATGGCATGCAAGAGCATTTTGGAAGCCGTGAGCCGAAGCTGTAGACAACCAGACTGTTGTGGTAGCCCTCACTTTCATTGCAATGCATGGGGCTCAAGCCATGCCCCTGTCAAGAGCCCAGGCACTTTGACTAGCGCCAACTTGATCCCTTGTAATTTGCTTACACTTTCCCCTCAACAATACCTCTCCAGAAGTCTGCCCAGAAGGCTTCCATGCAGCAGCACACACAAGTTGCATCACTGACTAGCCATTCTGAGCCCTATGTCTAATCTCAACATCCAGCAGCAGCTCTTTGGCAAGCTGTTGAAAAGGCAGAATAAAGCTGACATTGCTGCCAACATCCAGCAGCAACTGCAATGGTGCACTTGCATCACTAGGACTATCCTGCTGAGGCACATGTCAAAAGCTTTGCAACATGCAGTCACAAGAGAGTGAAGGTTGAAAGTGAGGGGAGGGGGACCAAGAGGAAAAGGCTCGAGCCTCAGCTTCGAGCTCGCCGTTGCTGCGCTTGAGGTTGACGTTTTCCTGCGCAAGCTTGCCGTTCTTGCACTCCAGGACGTCGATCTTCTGCAGGAGCTCTGCCTTCTTGCGCTTCACAATGGTGTTCTCCTGCACAACATGAACAACTTGACGCTCGCGCTCGCTGTAGGCAAGGCAGATCGTCTGCAGCTGCACAGTCATTTCACCGCGCTCCAGATCGGCCTTGGCAGCTCGGCGCAACTCTCGCCTCAAGCGGTACGGCGTCCACACCATGAGTGCAATGGCGGTCACCACTACCACGATGAAGCTAGAGAGGCGCGCAGAGAGAGTGAGCGTCAACAAAGGCCTCCTGAGAATCAGACGGCGACTTCATCTGGTACGTACATCACACCGCAAAATGTCAAGAAGCAGGTATCCATTATGACCATGTGGTTCTGATCCACTTTGCGGCGCCACATGACGGAGGGATTGGATGTCGTGAGGCGACCAGAGATGACTACCGTTGAAGGCGGAGGGAGGCAAAGGACCGGCATCTCGAAAGATCAAAGCGAAAGATGCGGAGAGTTGGATGACGCGAGGCGAGAATGAAGGTCGAGAGGCTGAGCAAGCCAACAGACGTGGTGACACGAGGCGAAAGACCTGGGAGGAGAGGCAGAAGTAGGCGAGAGTTGGAAGCTAGAGCTATATTGGGGAGACGGAATCAGACAGCGACTTCATCTGGTACATACATCACGCTGCAAAACATCAAGAAGCAGGAATCCATTATGATCATGTGCTTCTGATCCACTTGGCGGCGCCACATGACGGAGGGATTGGATGTTGTGAG